ACGCTGCTAATGATAAGTCGTCGAACGGTGTTTTTATATGAACCGGCAATACGAAACTATCTGAGTGTGTTTAGATTTTTGAGTAACACTTATTCAAGGTGTCCTTAAATGAGACAGATTTTTTGGTGAAAAGAGCTACAACAATAGTAAAGATATGAATCTTTATAAACTAACATGATTAAGATCTATGTTGCAAATGAATTCCCACTGCATAACATAACGTTGAATTCTAGCTGTTTCGTAAGTAGGCAGGCGAAGGCTAAATTCAGGCAGTTCAAGACATGATATTTTTCCATCAAGTCATTAAGTTCTAAATTGATCGATATGGAAAAGTTTAAACTTCGTCGTTTAAGTTGAGCAGTACTCATAATTCATCATTCAAGATGTTAGGTGAAATGGAGTAAAGTCAGTTAAACTGATATTATTCCTTCATCTTCATTCTCTCGTCTCAGTTCTTCCTCTTAAATTCTACTTCTCACTAAAAGTGAAGTTGTACATTTCAAGCTGTTAATTGAAATATCGGAGTCGAACAATTCCAATCGTCGAAATTTCGACAAATAGTAAATAATTATTTACTTTCTTTTGTTCACTCAGGATTTGAATATTATGAAACTATTCGTTTACATATCAATGAAGGTCTTTTAAAACTCTTACTGTACAGGCGTGACACGGAATGATATAGATTAATCGTATGTTGACGATTACTGATCGTTCACTTGCTTAAAGTGGCCTTGAAATAAGGATGATAGAAAAATATAATTCTGGGAATAATACCGGTGAGACTATAATATATGGATGACATTTGAGCGATACTAAAATGGTCTTGAGATTATCTAACCACTGACTAGGGCTAAATGAGGGTTTTAAACTTGTGTGAAGGAAAAGGATTGTTGCTTACAGTTGACAGTTAAGGAAAGGGATTAGATTTAGGGTTTTATCACGAACTGGCATCAGCTAAAATGCAAATACGCTATCTGACCAAATGGGTAAAGGATTTCACGCCGAAATCCAAAACACGTTATCGTAAATCCGATTGGTTCGTTCATAAATAGTCTCACTGATATTTAATCAATAGGAAGTGATTTACGAGAGCCAATGAGAACTTGTTTTATTAATCGAACAACTGGGATAATTTTTGAGTCAAAATTGATTTAATATCATACAAGACATACTGAAAGCTGATGGTCATCTCACTTTCTACTTAAAGTAGTACGTTTTTTCTATCATTTTTCCATAAAGGTGACTTAAAATCCAGTCAAAATAATTAATTACCAAACGTCCATTTCGTGTCATCATATCGTTTTAGTGAATGGTTATGACGTCAGTTTTTGGTATCACTGAATAATCTAGAAGGATTAGAAATTTATAAAGGAATAATCCTTTCATAAATGATTAAGAACAACTGTGGTGATACATATATTTACGGGAATATAATTTTTCGCCCAGTGAAGTCTTAACTTGATAAGTTCTCTTGAAATAATAATTCTATATGTTTGAAGATTTATTAGTTTCTCTTAAAAAAATTCGTGTTCATGATATTAAAACTTTACATACCGTCAGAAAATATAACACACATTAGCTTCGCTTATTATCATTTTACAAATTAAATTTATTCCAGAATATTCATCCTTATCAGTCACATACATTTGCTCATAGATAAGCTGCGAAAATTACATTTACTTTAATTTCAAACTGAAGCTTTTCATTCTGCTAATGTCTAGATTCAGGAAGTCTAAAATTTGTGACTTCGAATAAGTCTGTTGACTTTTCATTTCAAGTTATATTACTTACTTACTCCTGATAATGCTTGTGGAGAAGCGAAGGCCGCTCACCAGGATTCTCCGACTAGCTATGATCAGGAAAATCCTTTCCAGTTGCCATTTATCTTTTTATCGTCTTTCTCCAATTCCTTCTACACATAAAAGTTGGTTTGTTCTCTTCCAAGGTAGGTTGTTGCCAATGGTATCCAGCCAACGGACATTGAGTATACTGTGTAGACAACTGTTTACAAATAACTGTATATTTTTGATGAATGTTGCAGTAGTTCTCCAAGCTCCGGCTCCGTACAGTAGGACTGTATTGACGTTTTCATTGAAGAATCTGATTTTGTTATTAGTTGGCAGTTGTTTTGAGTTCCATATATTCTTAAACCATGGAAATACTGTCCTTACTTTAACAACCCTTTCCTTTACGACTGCATCCGATCCTTGTACATTGATGATGCTATCCAAGTACGTGAAACATTCCAACTCTCCCAGAGCTTCTCCATCAAGTGTGATTAGGTTGGTTGGTGTTCTCCGAGTTGTATTTAAAAGGCTTGCTACATCCCTTGTGTATGTCGAGGCCTACTGAGGCAGAGGCATCTGCCACACTGGTTGTCTTGACCTGCACTTGTCTGTTTATGAGATAGAAGGGTTAAGACATCTGCAAATTCGAAATTATCTAGTCGCTTCGAAGTTGTCCATTGTATTCCGTACTTCACCTCACATTTGGAGGTCTCCATCATACAGTCAACCACCAGAAAGAAGAGGAAGGGGGTGAGTAAGCAGCTGTGTTTGACTTCGGTCCTCACTTGGAATGTGTCTGTCAGGTGTCTCCCATGCAGTGTGGTGAGTCGTACAGACTTAGTATGTTCACTATTTCCTCAGGTACACCATAGTGTCGAAGAGAGTTCCATATTGTTCTTATGTCTATGCTATCAAACAGTTCATAATCAATGGAATTGGTGTAGTGAAGAGTTCCACTCAACTGACTGATCAACGACGATCCGTAGTATGGCGATTTCGTCTATGTAAGACCGATCCTTAGGAAATCTAGTTCGTTGATCTGGAAGTTGCGTATCTACTGAGTCTTCCATTCGGTTAAGCAACACTCAGCTGAGAACTCTTCCTAGTATCGATAGTAGTGTGTCTCTACAGTTTTCACATTTGCTCAGATCTCCTTTCTTTGGTAAGCTTGTCTTGTCATTGTATCGCTGATCTTTCGTTCCGTTAGCCGATTTTAGATCACCTCTTAATCTCTTCAAAAATAGCTATTTGGAGACGAGGCTGATGGAAACAAGGTGTTATGTCCCAATAAGCACAACGAATGGTAACTTTGGGGATCCATTTATGGACCAATACTATGCGTATACTTTTATCGTATAATTGCTAAATAACTAAACTATCCATATACGTATTCCTCCTATCATAAGTCTTATTTCGACCTACGAACTATTATTCTACGATTTACCATTCTTGAATTATGCCGTTTATTAATCACTACCTCTCTCACTCACAGCCATATACGGCCAAATCTTGTTTCATATTTTATGGTACGATGTGGTCTGTCTGGTTGGTACATAAACCCAGTATGATTGAAATAAATAATTCATATTGCAGAGGCTGAGATTTATGTTCTGGACTTAAATGGCTGGGCTAGGCGGATAGCATAACTCTGGACTGCTCACACGTGTTTTACGCGTCATTGGTCCGATCGATAATTCACCGATCTCTGATTGGCGGTATCGCTACGTTTACATTAACAAGCCACAAGTTATGACACAAGGTTCCTTCAGAAGTGGAGTTACTGTTGGGACAGCAACTAAAACTTATCCATATATTAGCAGAAACGACAATTACGCCTACCACACAACCGAGCACTTCTCATTCTTCTACTCCACCGTCAGTTGACAGCATTGCAAGCGGTAAGATCCCGATGCCAATTTTACATTTGACAATTGGTTCCGGCGCTATGAAGACTTATTTAGATTTGATTTTGCATCTGAAGCCACGTAATCGCTTATTCTCAGACAACTAGAGTAAACAGTGGATTATTTTTCTTACAATATTGATCGTTTCAAAAGTAACTGAATGAGAATTTCAAATCGTTTCACCGGCAATCACCACATATTTCTAATGAAGTGCATAGTAAATTTGATATACACTTATTTATGTCTGTTAAGACTTATGAAATACCATTTTAAGTATCCTATCATGGGAACTAAGAAAATCACTACCGGAAGGAGGGTTCGTGTTACTACTGTAGATTCCAAACTAACTTTGGAAGAATAACTGTCCAGGTTAATTTATATTTGGATAAATGACGGTTCTAGATTTCATTATAACTATAAACGTACAGTATTACCTAAACAAATATTACCACCCGATTATTCAGCCAATAATTGCTCAATCAGTAGTCCAATCTAAATTACATTAAATAGATTAGTTGATAAAGGATGTAAGAGAATTGCCAAGTGCAACCAATAAATCTTATTCTACCCTTTCTGGACAGACCACGTACAGATTGTTCGAAAGATAATATTGAACTACGTTATAACACGGAGTATTTCAAATTCTGGAAGAATTTTTCAGTATACATTCCCAATCAATGCAAGCAACGCAGTCAAAAAAGCGAATCAATATAACGTCCGCCATGGCTAAGTATCAACTAAAACAACATAAATGAAGTTCAGGGAAAACATGAAAATTCGGTGAAGGTGCAAGGAAAACCAAAATACAATAAAATACAAATAGTACTATCTCGAATGGAATCGAAAGTATCAACAAAATGCATATCTGAAAGAATCAAAAGGGACATATCACAAGTGTATCCCTCGAGGGATTTTCCTAAACAACGCCTTCAAAATAGATCTTACAACTATTATCATGCTACTGGACCATTACTCACTATTGTTGAAGTTTGTTCTGATGAGCAGCACACAACTAACTTTAGCTACCTGGAAGAAACAGACTTGCTTAGTCTATGCTAGTAACAAGTCATTATATTTGAGTTATGTTAGCAAATGAAAGTTTTATGATTGGTTGTGTTAAATCTGAGATCAAATGAAACTAAACCTCTCAACTACTAGCTTACAATGGTTGTAAGTTAAAACTTTGTCAGGCAACTACTATTAAGACTGAAGTGAATGAAATGAGTGTACTGTTCGTTGGATTTTCGTCGTTAATAAACAAGCTCTAATCAATCATTAGTTAAAACAAGTAACCAAAACAATATAAAATACCGTTTAAATGAGCAAGTATAGTTGAAACTAAGAAATGTAGGTTTATTTCTTTCTTGACTAAAGTAGGTCAAATTACGTTCATTTTACAGAAAAACTAAACATATTTGCCAAAAAGTATTAGATGAAAACATTTAATGAATGTTCAGCAGCAGAATCTTTTTGTGAACAAAATGAATTCACTATTGAATACAATTAGTGTTAGTTGAAAAAGCAAAATATACTGTTCACAGTAACCTAGAGTATGGCCGCCTATAGATACTACAAAAAACAATTATGAACCATACATCTGTTTTGAAGATCAATATATTAAGTAATCCAGAGTTTAAACTGCATAGTACCATGAACTCAAGAAGTAATCGGTACAAACATAGTGTTGAAAACGCTTTAAGAGGAAGGAATATTAACCGCCGTAATTTAAACCAGTTCAATAAAATTATCATTCGGTCTACTTAATGTTAAATAGAAATGGATTTGCACTCACATATAGCCTTTGGTTCGATTATCGCTCCAAATATTTCATGAATATAGAAAATCAGACATTTTCACGTTATTGTATCTTTCTCGGCGCCGTTTACTTGTGAAAACACTTTAATAATCAACAATATCTGTATTTTCGTGTAAGAACCAAATGTTTTCAATGATAGATCAGATGGTTGGTGGCATCGCTAAACGAATGAGAATATCTGAAGGATACTGGGAGTATTATCGATAAGACTCCTTGTAACTTTCATACATACTCAACAAATACACGGAAGTTCACTTAATAAAACCGCATTATAACGAAACATCAAGCCAAATGCTATCAGCACAGCAGGATAACGATGACTTCCTTGCATATTTAAAAATACTTTCAATGTCAAAAGTTATCCCTAAATACCTAAGAAATATTCTGACAGAAATCTTAATATCTGTAAGAAACTGACACTCGGAAAACAACTAAGTCGGTGTCAAAACAAAAGTTAAGGCAACGATTGGTGAAGTTTTAAAGAATCCCCTCCTTGCTGAAGGTTTTAATTTGTTAACAATTAGATATATTATATACAATTTATGATAAACTAATTTTTTAACGCTTTAAGCAAAACGAATGTAGTAGCCCAACTACTTAATGCATATCATCAATATAGAACAGATAACTAAGATATGTAAAACGATAAACACACATGAATGCTTTTATACATGAATATGACATGAATAAATAAACGACAATTTGAAGATAATGAGCATTGATACAACCAGTAACTAAGAATAAAAAAGGACAACCCCTGAAATATTATATTCTATCAGTCTGAAATAAACAGTAAATGGATGTGAGATAGGAATTATTTAGAAGCATGGTCTGTATGGATTAATATCCTGGAGACAAATGAAACATCAAGAGAATAATCGAGGTGGAGATCACATGAGAATGTTTACACACCGACTCCATGATTTAAGGTAGTCGATCCAAAAAAGTGAACAAACAACTTGATAATCACAAAGGGTTGAAACCGAGAAAAGCAGAATATACGCACCACATCACCATTGGTATCGCTATGTGGTAAAGTGGACTATGACCTCTTTGGGTAGAACGAACAATAGCTTTTTGTGTTTCATCCAATAAAAGTACAGGTATGGAGATTTTCAATACAGCGAACCACTCCGCGATATTCAGTGCAGCTATTTGGAATATATTCTGAAATATAGTGCAATCCAATTAGAAAAAATCATGAATGAAATTGATTAGATGAAGTAAATTGATTGATCAATTATAATACTGTATTCATGATTTAATTAGCTTAGTTTTAGTGATTTCTACAACTCTATTAACTTGTTACCCTTCATTTCGGCCAACAATGTCGGTTTAAGTTTTACTTATACGGACTATAATAACGATTTATTATAACGCGAATGTACCGTCTAATCTATAGAAACTAAACAGCTGATAAATAACATGAAGTACCCGTTAAATGTAAATTTAAACAGAACCTCATTCATGTGAGTTTATTTCATTTTATTACATGTAACAATGTTGCACATTCTAGATATGCAGATAGAACATAAAAAAGAGCTGTTTGTCAGTTGAATGACACAAAACAGTATATTGACCACTAGGATAGATTATTGGAATAGTTTTTTTTAAAATGACAGCTATGGGTACAGAATTTTGTTATTCAGAATCAATGAGTTAAACGCTTTTGAATTAATTCCTTAACTAGAAAATTCTTACAGCTAACTACTGATGACCCATACCATTTGAAGTTCCATTATCTATGTGAACCATGCAAAATGAATCTATCTGAGACCTTTCAGATACCGACGCACTGATAATTCGATTGCATTTGGCTACAAACAGTTACATGTATTGAGGCACACAATTAACACATAATAAAATATACCTACTTTGATCTAACAGGTCAGTCAGCCAGTAACAACGTAGAACTTCGTACGTACGTACATCAGTTCGAGTTGCCACACCACATTAGCACAGAGATACAGTTGTCGATTCAAATCCCGTAGTGGATGCACCTCTGTGTTCTCCCAAATTCTAATCTTCTGAATTCTTCATGTCCCTTTTTTCCTCTTTCCAAATTTATTTCACTGGATTATACTCTTTAAATAACATCTCCAAACCCTAATCTTCCCGATTACTGCTTATACTCTTATTACCTCTACCAGAAAGAAATCTTTCAGTTAAAAAAGATCCTCTCACTCACATTAATAACGTAAAAGAAAATCACAACACAGTCGTCAATGGCTTGTATTTTCAGTCATATCTAATAACGTTTTAAGGTATTGTGTGGCGCTGTTTTTGGGATTCCAACCAGGGTATCACAAAGGATCAACATACGTCAGTCATGTACAAATTTCTTTCATACTATGGCACTATGTCAAAAACTGACTACCTCTCAGCTTTTCGCAACCAATTCCAAAGTCGGCAAGCAATCCGCGATGTAAAACCCATTGAAACGACATTCGTAGTACATGTTTAAGTCACTGAATATAATGCCAAAAATTGAATCGTTTCTGCCCCCCGGCGAATCTCCTCACTACTAATAAAGCGGTGCCATAGAATGTCAGCAATCCTTCGGAGAAAACGATGACCTAACATCACTTATGAGATTCGGTCTCACAAGCATAGAACAATGTTGCTCGTACTAGAGTTGTAAGTGTGGCTTTTACTATGCGTGAACTGATCTTACCGCTCACCCCTTTACCAACAGCACTTACACATCTAGCCAGATACACAAACTTCTCGACTACCTACCTCCAAGTGCTTTTTTGGGATCACTTAAGTGGTGGCAGAACCCATCCTTGATAGCATCTGAGCCGCAATCTGTTAGGGCTGATAAAAATCATCCAGCTCTATAAGGGTGGTTTGCATTGCAACATAAATTTTACTGCCTTAAATTTTTAAAAACTAAGACTATTTACTGAGCTACTAAAAAAATTATAAAATGCACCATATTTAAAACTTCTATCACAACTAAAGGTCAGCTACTAGTGCCTAATGGATGATTAGGAGCAATCGGTAGACCAAAGTTAGCAGGTCGATGAGTGAATGTTTAGGGATAGTCCGTTGATTGGGAACCACTGGTTAAACAAAATACTTGACAATCGTCTGAATAAAAACCAATACAAATAGAATCATAGGAACGTCTAATAAACAAAATTCTGAAAACCAGAGCCTAGACAAATAGATATGAGTAGTTAAAAATGTGAATGGTTAAACTGAAAAACCTACCGCTAGTACGTTTATGTACAAGATTGCAAAGTGTAGTGCCATACTAAAGCAGATCGCAGCGATAAGCCACATATTATGCCAAGGAGACATGACCAGAAGCGACTGATTCTCAGAAAGGCTAATAAAATAAACATAATACAAAATTACCGACGGAGACACAATGTCGACCAGAACAGTATATGATGGAAGACGCACAAACACCGGTACAATGAAGCACCAAATGTATATGCACAACACTTCGTCATTTGAAGTGTATGAGGGCTAGAACACTGTTCGGATGCCCAAAACAAAGCAGGTGGTTTTCTTAGGGGGCCACTCCCCGAGTCTTTTACCTAGAGGTCTAATCCATAAGACAATGAAGCAACATTAGATTCATACGCCATTTCTTCTCTCCGGATTCTGGACCCCATGTGCATTTGACATAAAATAAGACGTAGGATCTAATATACCACTGAACTAGCATTTATTTAAAGGAGACTTTTTCTTAAAATATTATGATAGCGATTACCATACAAGTTACTCCGTTTACTACTCTATTTATGAAAGACCTTTAAAACCTAACCAACCATTAGCATCTATACATATTCAACTCACATTTTTTAAATGGAGATAGTTAGCTTTGCACTATTATACGTAATGACAATCAACTAAATCTGTATTCTAATCTTCTTATTCCATATAAATATATGCAAATAATTCCCAACTCTTACCATTTAAAATAATGGTCTGATCTACTTATCAACACCATACAGTGGATAATTTGCTAACATCAACAACTCATTTGAAGGGTTGGCGTAAAAACTATGTTAAGCGTCTGGTGCGAGACTGATAGTTCCTGGGTTCAAGTCCCGCGAGGCGGGGTCGTGTACGGCACTGCTGAGGAGTCCCACAATAGGACGAAACGGCCGTCCAGTGCTTCCAGGTTTTCCATAGTGGTCTAGTTTCAATTGACTCATGATCTCAACTGTTGTAAAAACTATGTATTGATCTCTTTTTTATTATAGAATGACTCGATTTGTCACTGCAAAAACTCAACGATATGGAAGATAGTTGGTCACCATATTTCTGTGCGTAGTTGAACTTGAATAAGTATCACACGTAAAAACTGCGAATGAGGCTTACTGATACATAATGACTTAGAAAACAGCTTACTATATCTAGTGGACTTAAAACTTGTAAACGAAATGGATAATCTTTATAGCGTCAACCATAAATAACTCATAAATGAGGTAAAAATCAACAAAATGAATTACCTGTTCAATGCGTTAAACATCTCAATCAAAACCAACACAGACAATGCCATTGTCATAGGTTTTGGACTGGCGAATACGCTACAATTAACTCCTTTGAACATAGATGGTTCCAACTGGCATTGCAAATGATGTGTCTAAAAGAAACGAATTGTATTTTAATTCAAAGATAACCATAAAGAAAAGGACAACTGGTACTGAGTAGAAAGAAATCACGGTGTTGAAGGTGTCTCACGATTAGAAATGAAATTTTGAAACTAGGATGACACAGAAAGTAGGGAATATTATCGCTTAAATGAGCCGTAAATACAAATTGACAAAACATTTTTGGTGTATCGGATGTAAACGTTACGTAATTTTGTTATTACTACATACAAGTGAGTTCAAAAAAAGATATATTAACTGAAATGTTTAGGTGAACACTTCGCTTCTGTACTACTGCTGTCAAATACGGATGAAACAAGTAGTTACTTCCTTAAAAGAGCTAAAACATAATAGTGTCAGAAATCAATGAGCAATATATGAGAGAAATAAGCTAGTAAGTAATGAAAAATATGAACCAGCAATAATGGTGATTTACTTGGAAATATATAAGTACACATCACATATTAGAGGCGGGGTATTTTTATGTAAGTTGCTATGGAAAAGAAAGTCTCATGTTGGATCCCTTCTATTGTCAAACTTTTTTTCGAAATTCCAAATAACTATCTTTTGAAATCTATTATTCTTCCTGTATTTTTCACAAATTAGATTGAATGCACTTTCAACCCTGTAAACGGATTTACCGAAATCTTTTTTTATTTTAGATTTTATTTTACTGAACATTAAAAAACACATGATAGTGGTGGGCACAGAATGTAACTGTTAGAGCGATATAGATTGGATTGAAACATGTTCCGTGCAGGACTGTGTTGGGGCACGCTATTGTCTATTTCTTAACCAATCAGCGCTAGTGAACACTTCGAGAAAACTCCAGAATTTTGTGTAAAAATTATAAACATTCTAACGATTTTTTATTGTGATTCCTACTTCCATTCAACACTTATTTGGAGTATAACTACGTTCTAATTCAAAAATGTTTTGGTTTGGGGACCTGTCGAGCGAAGTAATGTCCAGGAATACTAAGCAATAGGAGTAGCTGGGTAGTGATAAGAGAAATTATAACAGTAACTTGACACTTAATTTCACCAACTGACAGCTATATATAGTAAAACCTATTAGTGGGATGACGAAAGCATTAATAAAAATGATAGGTGTCAAAAATGTCCATTGTTTAAAATTAGGGATGTATAAATTGCATAAAAATAGTAAAATGCATTTTCTATGTAAATGTACATACCAGCTGATAATAGTTCACTTTGGGACCGCCCTCATAGACCATGAACCACCAGGCTGCTGCTCCAACTGTTGCACACCCAACATAGATGCCTATCAACATGTATCGAAGAAATAGCCAACCGGAAATCAATGGTTCTTTGCTTTTACGTGGTGGTTTAGTCATTATATCAACATCAGGAGGATTAAATCCTAAGGCTGTAGCAGGTAAACCATCAGTCACTAAGTTAACCCAGAGTAATTGTACAGGAATCAAAGCCTCAGGCATTCCAAGAGCAGCAGTCAAGAAAATGCAGACAACTAAGGCGAGAAAAATAAGCAAAGACATGGTTTATCACTAAAAGTTTGTGGTTAGTCTAAAATATAAGAAATTACAATACTTGTTTTATTGGTTCCACAAGGTCTACTAAAAACAATAATTTGTTTCAGACGGTTGCAAAACCAACGATAAACGGATTTTGAAGTCTGTAACCATTGAAGAAATTGATAAAGATTAAATGAAACTGAAGTAAGACATTTTTACTCTAATAACTTATGAACAGCGGCTCTTAACAATAAGAAAATGAAGATGAAATGGAAAATTCAAGGAATTATGATACTCCTAAACGCAATACGTTTAGGGCCGAAAGTTGATTGAGGTACATATAAAGTTTTATGAATACTAGTTTGAAGACATCTAAATATTCTTAGTTGACTTTCCTCAAGCGAAGGTACTGATAAAATTTCATTTATGAACTTTAATAAATTACTATACAATCTAGTGGCAAACAAATGAACTTACCTTCGCCGATGTTAGACGAAATAAGGTAACGGATAAACTGTTTCATGTTATCATATATAGCTCGGCCTTCTTCAACGGCCGCAACAATTGTGCTAAAATTATCATCTGCTAGTACCATGTCAGAAGCAGATTTGGCAACGGCGGTACCACTTCCCATAGCAATCCCAATTTCCGCCTTCTTTAGTGCAGGAGCGTCATTAACACCATCTCCAGTCTATTAAGACATTAAAAGAGTAAGCGAACTTTAGCATTTAGAGACAGCAGTATCGAACGAAAATTACACAATAGGTAGTCATCAATTCATTACAAACGAGGTTGAGTGGTACATTTTTATTTAATTATTGCATCACCCAGTTGTCTACACTGGAACACTGTGCATGTGTCGAAACTGAAACAAAGATTGCCAACCACGAAGGTTGTTTTGACAAGCTACCCCAGGTGAGTTATTCGTGATAAAAACTTGAAAAACAAAGAGATGGACATGACCAAATTGACTAGGGTTAGACGATTGGGATAAGTAATAAGTGCTATCGCTTCAATATGAAGAAATAACTCAGAGATATTTGTGTTTATTTTGCGGTTGTATAAGAAAAGCTGACCTATGTAAGATGGAAACACTTGATGCCATACCTGGAGGTTAGGTAGAATTACAAACAATCGACAAATCGACACTTGACATCAAAATATTTGAAACAGAAACAACGATGAGTAAAATCAGTTATTTCAAGAATACAAAAAATATATCGAGTATGTATGAAATTACCACGACAAAATGATGACGAAATGCGTTGCATACGTAGCACATTAAAGTGAGAAAACGCAGCTCAAATGTATAACATCTTGACATAAACGTATGGATATTTTAGATTAATTAAATTCTGAAATTCAAGATACAATAAGAAATAACGGTACGCGAAGAAATCTGAAAATTAATGGCTACCACAAGATTTCGAGATGTATTCAGAAAGTTCGCCTGGCAACACATGTAGCGTAGACAAGATGTCTATTTTTCATAGTGAATATATACGACGCAACAGTCCGCTCTGAAAGAATTTATGGCTGTGAAATAAAGGCAGTTTCTTTGTCTTTTCTTTCCATATTCTCGACGCAGTCATTATTATTGCTACATTATTATGACTCCCTTGTTAGTGTTATCTTATCAAACTAATAGGGGATAGCAATTTGACCGAAGCATACTAGAGCTGGGCCCTTATGACTAGCCGACAACCACAATGAATTCGTCCGAACAGGTTCGAGTCATTCATCTGTAATCGGGTAATTACCTGTACCATAAGTCACAACTAAAATTTGTAATTTCACCGACCATATATGTTTTACCACCTAGAATGAGTTGCAACATTATGCGAGACCAAAACCACTAATCAAAACGTGAGGCGTTTTTGCTTGTCACAAAAATTATGTGATAAGATATACAGTTTGCATGGAACGATATTTACTTAATAGCATTAGTGATATATATATATATATATATATATATATAGAGAGAGAGAGAGAGAGAGAATGAAAAAGTATAAAGACTTACCATCGCAGATACTTCACCATCCTGCTGTAGGAATTGTACTATTAGACTTTTATGGGCGGGTTCAACACGAGCAAACAACTTCCCGTTGCGTACAGCATCCTTTTTCTTGTCTAAACTGAGGTCATCGAATTCTCGTCCCGTGAAGGACTTTCCACATGTATCTTCTTTATCTTCAAACAATCCTATACGACGGCATATAGCTTCGGCAGTTGCTTTATTATCGCCTGTAATAACAATAACACGGATGCCAGCCTTTTTACAAGCTTGGATACTGCTGGCAACCTCACAACGTGGCGGGTCCACCATACCAACAACACCCACAAGAGTTAATTCAGTCTGAAAATGAAAACCATTAGAAGTAATTGGTGTAAGCTTGTGATACGATGGAGTGGTAATAAGTTGTTAGAAAATGGTCGATCAAAAAGAAAGGGCCCAAATGCGTAACACACAACAGATAAGTATACCGTTCACTTGTTAACTTTTTTATATACAGGGATGTACGAATACACTGTACCATACCACATAAAATCTCAAAGCAAATGGACAATTCATCATCTCTGCTTATTCTTCAATTTAGTTTGAATGTAACATGTGTTATACACCTGAATGAAACCTGAAACTGTTTTTTAAACATTAACCAAACTGCGTAGAGGGAACTAAAAACACATCACAAACGTTGTTCGAACTTAAATCTCCTTGCATCAAGCACTATACAACTAATAATGGTAAAAAATAAAAACAGGATCACTATTTGAGGAACTAAATGCAACGAGAAAGAACAAACATAACTTACCTCATAATCCTTGAAATTCTTTGGATCTTTTAAATCAAAGTGAGAGTATGAAGGTGGTTCATCTCTTGTAGCTAAAGCCAAACAACGAAGAGTTTCACGTCCAGTGGCGTAGGTAGCTATTTTTCGAAGTACTTCGCCCTTTAGCTCAGACGTTAACAATAATTTGCCGCCTGTGGTGCGTACATGAGTGCATCTATCCAATATGGACTCCGGGGCGCCCTTATCAAAATGTACGTAGTAAGACAAAAAGAAATAATTCCATACAAATTCTTAATAATAAATTTATATATCTAAAACACTGATTAAAAAAGCTATTTTGAGTGAAGGCGAGTACAGCTCAGGTTTGCTAATTGTTACTAAGCGAGATGGTTTTAATTAAAACACATATTAAGCATACATTTAAGAGCACTAAGATCAATAACATTTACTTCGCTTCTATTGTTAAAAGCGCTAAATTTCCACCACTTTTTTATACAAGCATTTAGTAAGATATATGAAGCAGTTCCTTTTTAAACCAGTTAATTTACAAGGATTGAAGAAACGTTTGATTGAAAAAGCACAAACTCAGACAAAATAAGATTACCTTAACAAAGAGCTTTTCTTTAGAGCCAGGAATTTGACTTCGAGGGATGACATACGTAGACATTGATTTCCTATCCCGAGAAAACTCAAGAGTAAATTTTCTTTCATACATTTTCTACAATAGGAAGAAAAATGCCGAAATAAATCACAGAAATTCAGTAAAACATAACTAAGAATGTCAACTACCTGGATATCGCGATTACAAATCATTGCAAGCTGGTGATTAGTAAGATTTGATTTAGAGACTTTTGTGACATTCATTTTCTCAACCAAGCAGACCAATGCAGTCTCAGTCGCTTCACCCACTTTTTCATATGCATGCCGAGATTCACTGTATTCCACAGACGAGTCATTGCACAAAGAACATATTTGCGCAAGTTCTACAAGACAAGGATATTCAGAACAGTCTATTTTTCGTCCTTGATGGTGCCTGAAAGTACGAAAGTAAGGTTTTATTAAAGTGATTGCTTTGGAAAAATACTAGCATGAATATCAATCGTGAGAGAACAGTGATATTCTTATGATTAGACACAAAAGCGCTAACTTGCATATTAATTCACTGGTTGAGGGTAGCTACATATATCAAGGTAAAAGGTAAGGGAAACTAATTCAACATAACATTTACATCAGCTACATACCATATTTTTGAACACATTAACAGTACAAATAGTTCAGTCGCTTTCGATTTCTCTGGTGAATTGTTTATAGTCTTACATAATGAAAACACGTCATGTTTCTACTTTATCGATAGCTAATGAGTTTTAGATCTGTTTCCGAATTAACGCTGATATTTGTGGTCGACTCAACTCCGATGTATGTGTGTGTAGTTTATGCTGAACAGAACCTCAATAATTAATTCAGAAGCCTTAGTTATTCAGGAAGACACTGTGAGAGGCTTTAGAAAGGTTGATTCGTTTTGCTTGTCACGATCAGTACACTCTATATACCAAGATTGTATAAATAGATGATCAGAAAATGGCACAGCAATAAAACACGAAAACTAAGCTGAAACCTACACATTTCCTTCTGGAGCATATTTAGAACCCGTAATTTCAAACTCATCAAATTTTAGCTGCGAAGCATCACCGACCCGACTCTCGTTACCGAAAGTGAACATTCGGCAAACAGTCATTTGGTTGGTTGTAAGGGTACCGGTTTTGTCAGAACAAATCACTGTTGTACACCCAAGAGTTTCAACACTTGGTAATGATCGGACAATAGCATTTTTGCGAGCCATTCGACGGGTCCCCAAAGCTAGACACGTTGTGATAACAGCCGGTAGACCTTCTGGAATCGCCGCTACGGCAAGCGCGACTGCAATTTTAAAGTAGTAAACAGCACCTCTGAACCAAGAACCACCATGCACTGGGTCGTTAAAATGGCCAATGTTAATGCACCATACAGCAATACATATGAGTGTTATGACCTACAATAATGAAAAAAAATTGTTTTATGAAAAACATGACTGAAATTAATTTGAAAACTTAAGTAATAAAGATTAGAAAAATTACAAATCGACACTAGAAACATTTTGTAGTGGAAAAATCACGAAACGCAAAAACAAGCAGAAATTAATTATATACCTTTGATAACTGTGTTCCAAATTCATCTATTTTCTGCCCGAGAGGAGTCTTGTCTTGTTCTGTATGCATGATTTGATCACGAATTTTGCCTATTTCTGTTGAAAGTCCGGTCCCGACTACTACTCCAACACATTTTCCGGAGGCTACATTTGTACCGCTAAATAGCATATTCTTTTTGTCTTGATTGACAGCTCGAGCCTGGGATATAGGGTCACTGTGCTTTGAAACTGATACTGATTCACCAGTTAAGATAGACTGATCAATGAGAAGTGTTGTAGACAAGATTTTAACGATTCTAATATCCGCTGGAACCCGATCTCCAACTAAATAGGCAAATCAATAAAATGAAACTTAGAAAACCTTGATAATTATTGACCAGCAAAAACCCATTATATAGCAGTGCATACAAAGAATTAAGGTACCTATGATATATTAGGCAAAGAACGAAATTATTTTGCAAGTGTATTGATTTAACTCATATGTGGCTGCAACGAGTAAAATAAGACTTCCTCAGGGGGAAATCCAACATTTAAACCCAAATCAAAAGCAATTTACAGACTGTCAAAGACACTGGTACATATTATAAGTACACAAACCTATTTGTTCATTCCATTGTGGTACAACAGAACTTGGTCAAAGGGATCCTTAAAACATTATTCACACTATTTTAGTGTATTACAGAACCGTCATCAGTGTAATTAAATGCGGCTTAACATATTACAGATATTGTTCAGTTATGTGAGCAGTTTTTGAGCGGTCTTTTTACAGCTAAACACCCCATGACAACCTATCGGCAAAAAGCCATTGATTTTATAAGATGACAATAATTAACGGCAGTCAGATAACACAAATTTGTACGGGTTGGCGAAGTGACATGGTTATCAGATATTTTTCAGACATCGGAAAAGTGGTTTGTCATCGCACAATGTTTCAGCGTCGATCAACTCAAGGATTTTAATTACCTGTTTTTCGCTTTTAACATTATAACAGGTGGGTGATTTTGTTATTGATATTCACGCAATTCAATACAAGCCACTTGTGCTGTTTAATTGCACTCAGGAAAAAACTCACTGACAAAACGGGTATAACATACCAGCAACTTCCACAATGTCTCCAGGCACTAATTCACGGGCTTTCACACTCTGCACACCTTGATAACCCTGACGAATAACCTTTGCAGTATCTGACTCATATTCTTTTAAGGCTTCTATGGCTGACTCAGCGTTACGTTCCTTAATTTATAAAACTTAATTCGGGACGACTAACCTGCCAAACACCAACGATTGCATTCACGATTAATATGAGCATTATGACAACTGGCTCGACAAACGCAGTAGTCGCGTCTTCGCTATCTTCAAACCAGGCCAAGACCTAAAGTGAAACTGTAAAAATACATCGTGATGGATTACAAATGAGATAACAGCTGCTAGTAAGAGAATTTTGACCAAGAGGTCGTCGAACTGTTCAAGTACCAATTTCCAAAGAGGCTTGTTTTCTTCCGGTGGTAACTCTAAAAGAATGCCTATTTTTAAGAAGAACAAACCATTGTAGCCATACTCCTTCAAAGCGGATTCAATCTGCTTTTTAGTTAGACCAGTTTCAGTGTTCGTATTGTAGTGCTTTAGGACATCATCAACTGTACAAGAATAAGCTTCCTCCAACATGTCAAGCTATACCCTCAGAAGTTGGCGCTGCTAGCAAACCTACGTGGGAGCGCCATGAACATGATTTTTGACGCAGTAAAACTTTATCTCAACAGCTATGATGCATATATTTTTCAATCTCAAAATTTAAAATAAACGTAACATAGTAACCGTTCTGACATTCTAAATACTAGAGAGGTCGGTCTCAAGCTGGTAAAATAAGGCTTGAATGAGAATGTAACTACTTTTACATATGTCAGCTAACCATCAACTTTTATAGAAAAGGGCCTTGAAGAATGTTGCGTTATTAACTTACAAATCCAGGTTATCATTGACAAAATTTAAGCATAAGTTACCTACTTCTTGCAATATTGATATTTAAAATCAGGCAATTTAATGAACTTTGAAACCCTGTTCATTTGAATTAGAAACTGTACAATAGGCAGTTGACGTAAGCGTGTAAAATAATTTTAAAAGTTTTGCGTTATTGAACTTTTAAGTACCACCACATCTTCGATGTTGCTTCTGTCTAATCAAACTAATGGTCCACTGTAACATCTCTGAGCCCACCAGACTTAGCCGTTCCTCTATTAGACAACAGGTCGCTGATCATTAGATAGTCTACTGAACATTGTTAAGGTCAAGGATGACTAGCGTGGATCAATTCCAATAATCAATTGCATGCCTTGTACAGGCGCATGAGGTGGTTTTTCTCATTCATACCATCGTGATAAGCTAATATTAAGATATGGAGTTGCTTATAGAGAGTATCTATTCTATCCAGTTAATACGTCAAATAATTCATCTGGTTGTCAGAATAACACAATCACGGTTAAGTATAAACAATGGGAAAGATATAACTTGGACTTGGGCTGGGTGGTCACACAGTTCGCATTAAACTCGAGTAGATTGCGATCACCTACGTCGGTGGTAAACGATTTGAAAATACGGCAGGAATCGGGTATGTGTTTTGACCTATATGGGTTTCGGGCTAATCTGCATGTCGTGCTAAGTAGCCTTATGTAAAGTAACACTAGTAACAGTGACCCGCTTTCGTTCAGTTGCAGGTAACAGATTTAGAGATGTGTGAATGGTATGATTAACATTCACACGATTAGATACAAATACATCCTTCACAGTTTACATAGATCTAGCGTGCTACTGACCGGATGTTTCACTGTGAAAACATAAGAAAGAGGAAACATCTACAATTGTAATACAAAGGCTGCATGGTTCTGTAGTGGTATCGGTTCCTGATCACACGATCTTTGAAACTGAGAGTATAATTACTGAGATTCATATTCAATATATAACACTAAGAGCAGGTCAACAATGGTGAATGCTGAAGCAAATAATCGAAATGGCATTGCTCATGCTTGTCAATTCAAATATATTACCCTCGTCTCAGTTCTTAAGAAATATTGGATGTCATAGTCCTGATCGCCGCCACAGGACGAGTCAGTGAAAAGAGTAATGTTCTTTCCACTTGAGATCTTATAGATAAGGTAGTCACACCATAACAAGTAATTTAGGGATTAATTCAATTATTATAGTAGTACAAATAACAAACTAGGCCATAATTCTTAAGTTTTCCGTGAGCCATGAGGTTTGAGAGGTCAGCTTTATTCATATTTCTTTATCAAGAACTAAGAAGTGGTTCAATTGTGATTTATGGAATGCAAAGACATAATTTTAGGCCTGAACCTCGGTTCTTTTTCAAGCTAGACCTGAACAAATAAGACGGCTCAGCCAAGAACAAAAGAATACATAAAGCCGACGTCACTAGTGGATAATGCTGTTCCACTAACCTATCCTATTAGCCTACAAAGTAGGGAACCTCGGTGACAATCTTTGCATATTGTCTTTCTTTAACTTGTCATCCCCAATCTTTCTGATAAAATCTTATCTCACAGTTTGAAATCATGAGTCAGTTGTAGCTAGACCACCATTGAAAACCTGGAAGCACTGGACGGCCGTTTCGTCCTGGTATGGGACTCCTCAGCAGTGCGCATCCACGGTCCCGCACCACGCGGGGCTCGAACCCAGGACCTGCTGGCTTCGCGCGCGAGCACTTAACCACTAGACCACTGGGCCGGCATCCAACGGTGTTAATGTCTAACTTCAACCAATCCACGAAGTTGCGTCACCGTACACCATTGTGATTAAACAAAATAAGCAACTCTATCACATCAATAATTGTTAGACATTCATAAGTATAAGACAGCCAGTTTTTGGGCAATCAAAATGATAACCTAACTGGTTTCAGGGATAAAGTATGCAAATACTAATAAAGGACGAAATAAAAAGAATGTAACTTATACTGACTGCCAGACCAATACAAAAATGAGTAAGATACTGAAAAGCAGATATATCCAGCAGTTACAATCACTTTTACGAAGAAACTGTTTTCCAATAGTGTTAATGACAATTGTCTGACAATAACAAGCACAAAGGCTGTTATTGCATTCGTTGAAGTATTGTCGGCTTCCTTATTAGTACTGCTCTAATAATATGCCGAATCTTAAAATTGTAGATTTGTTTTGAAGTGACTACCTGATCTATGAGATCTTACATGGAAGTCACAGTGTCCACAGTGACTCATCCTACACCTGGAGAACACATTTAGGCTGGAGACAGAACAATGTATTTATTATGAATAAAAGAGATAAGCTACACAAGAATGACCACGCTTACAAAACTGAGCCATGCCATCCGACGAACTGAACTAATGTTCCTGAGTTCTCCATAGTTAACCTTTTCTTTGTATCAACTGTCTTTTCAACAACTATATGCTCGGCTTCAAAAGTCGTATGGTTAGGGTCCGATTCCACTACAAATTCACTGGCTATTCTCACTGAATATGAGCTTCTGCTGTGTTAAGTAAAGTTGTATTGGGCGAAGACTTGGTGGAGAGAACCAATTTGTCTGAAGCGTGACTACAGAGTGCTTTCGTAAAATGTGAAAATCATACATTAAACACATCATTTACGCCTATCCCTTCAGTTTCCTTTACATACATTATGATTCTTTCAGTTCCGTTGATATGATAATCACTCAGAACTTTCCTTCCTGTTCTCTGCAAATCAATTTCCTTGCTGTTCCATGCCTGTAAAAACGGTGTGTACCTGCACATGCAGAAATATTATATTATACCATATATACTTGTCAAAATAAAAAACACCTCGAAACCAATGGATATGACACTACTTACAGCCGCATTTCCAAATGTGGAGATATCAAAGCTATGGACGAGATGCACTGTTGGACAAAACCGGTGGTATCGAAAGTGTATATATTTTGGTACCCCTTTGGCAAAACGTGACAGCCTCGAGCTTTCGTCTTTGAACATATCGATTTGCCAATCCTACGCTACTTAGAGCGGAGCATATAATTAGAACAGTACAACAATGACATGCCGCATGAATGACCCGTTACCTGTTCGATTATCTGGACCACCTGTTTTTCCAACCGTCCAGATACCGCAACAAGTTTCTTCTCTTAGTTCATTTTACGTCTAAGCTTTCAAACGACTTTGTCGACTTTGAACTATAAGATGACGCTCAAGACACAAGTAAAACACTTATGTTCATGTCACCAATGCTTGAATGACTCCGTACTATAGTTCGTCATGACCATTCATTTTCGTTAATGATTCCACGTTGATGAAAAACACCCAGGCTCTGAAAAACTTATTTCATATGATAAACTGAAATTAATGCACAAATCGCTTGTCACAAAACACCTTTGGTGTTGTTAACTCTTATATTCAAGTCTTCTCAGATATTTCTGATCCTACTTGGAAGACATTTGTACTTGGATGTGATCTGGTGGGAATGCCTAACCCAGAGCCTTCAGCTAGGATGTGTCTAGTAATTAGGTGTGATGATCATAAGTATCTGAATTATTATACAGACTCGGAATCCCGGAAACAGCAGAATTTAGACCAAGAAGAACAAAGTGAGCACAAACAAACGTATTGCGATTGTAATTCGAAATCAGACAGTCATCAAGTACAAAGAAAACATTAGTTCATACAAACACCAAATGAGGTCGGTATCAACGTTTATTATCTACTGAACTATTTAGTTCGAGAGTTTATTCCCCACTCCATTCCAGAAAATATCACACTTACAGACTACAATGGAACATTATAGAGTAAACTATTAGGTAGTGTAGAAAACAAATGTTATCAGTCTTGAAGCACAGAGTGAAAATATTATTGAAAATTAAGCCTTGAGATGCTCTTCAATTTAATTAATGATCATGATAATGTTATCGTAACAACGTATCGTGGGTAGGTTGGATAACTGAAGTGCCGACAAAATATAAGAGGATCAATATCAAAGTTTACCATCTGTCACACAACTTATTTTTGAAAGCCATTTTGCAGTGCGAATACTGCGGAATTTTACTGTCATCTATAATGCTTGGAAGCAAACTTTTATGAACTTCCTCATAGTACAAGAAGAAAGACTTCTGATTTTGTTTTACCTAAATCTAACGTAAATGCCATACAGTAACTTCAATTGGTTTTTCGTTTCATTTATTTTATAAATTATTCCAGCGTTTTTGTTATCTAGTGGCCTACGTGTTACTGTATATCATACGAACGCTTAGTTTTAACTGTGCATGGGCTTTTGAATACGCACTAAGTGGCGTCTGTAGAAGCTTATGTCTTGGTTGATCAATCTACCAGAAAACCTCGTACATTCGCTCGAAATTTTCTTTTAATACTTTTAGTTCGGGTGAACACCACATCGTTGGCAGCACTTCTGAAAGTGAAATCAAAGCTATCTGATCATTTTTCCGTAGTGAAGGAATTTTCCTGCAACTAGGGATAACTCATGGGGAAGTCAGTCAACAATAACCTTTACTGACGATCATACGTCACTGCATTCAAAACGCGCTATATTAAATTCATCTGCTAGTTTTAAGATGTGTTTTAAGATGACTTGCTCCCTAAAGCATTTCGATTTTTCATACAAAGGTTTAAGCATTTGCTGCAAATCACCATGTGTGAAATCTCTTCATGTACTGTTTGGTTTGGAATAAACTGACGAAAGGTGCTCTCCATTGAAATTAACGTACCGTTTACTTATTTCGCATGTTGATCGCGCTATTTTAAAAGAAGAGTGATATTTTCCCCTGAGTATATTTTGCAATATTGTCTGCTGTTTTTGCCTCAATTGAGTTTGTTTTAGTTAAAGTGATCTCCAAGAGTATCGCTTTTTTAGAGAAATTTTTCATCCGTACGTTTTGAGTACAGATGCAAAAAAGGACACTGGTTTTTTTCCTCATTGAGTATATTTATTAATATTTTTTGTATCCAAAGTTGTCAAGGTCATTTTGTGGCTACTGAGATTGAATTTTTTTATTGTTAGGCTTAGTAATATACAAACCATTCTCCGCTTGTGTTCAGTGTCTATCACCTATCAAGCCCTTAAAAAGCATTTATTCTACAAACCAGTTTTCGCTGTTGTTCTTCCTGTGAGATCACAAAACAATTTTATGGTGCAGGTAAGACATCGTCGTGGCAAACCTGCATGCTATTTCTCGGCCGATGATGAAATGCAATGTGACAATTGCAATAAGTGTTATCATAATGTATGCGCCAGACTAACACCGCCTGCATTTAAAAGGTGCTGCAAACCACTATCACATTGGCTGTACAAAGCATGCTCTTTTACAAAGTCTGTGCTGATTCTTTAGGCGATTGGGTTGCTGAGCATAACTAGAAATTATCCCTTAGATGAACAAACAGAAGTAGATGAACGAAATTTTGATTCCGAGTAAATAGCGAGCGTTTCCATGAACCCTGCTCTGGATTTTAATGAGACCATTAAGGTAGACCCCATTAGAAAAGCGGATAACAAGTATACGGATGTACGCATAGCTACTAGGACGAAGAATAAGCACGCCGAGAAGAAACAAACTATAAGCAGCGCTTAAGTATGTGAACCGATTGCTTCTGTTTAGGATTCACACATCAACGCGAAACAAACTTTGAGGGAACAAAGTCTGATGATGTAACCAAAAGATACAATACGGTAAATGGTTGGCTTACAGTCACTCAGAAATAGAAAAGTAAGAAAACAGAGTGGGGTCTCTGCATTTGACATCAAATCGGAATCGGATTGCAAGGTGGAGAAGATTTCAGGGATTCAAATTTCACAGTGTTAAGACGGACCTCGCTAACAAGTCAGCCATTTTTCATGAATTAAGAGAATCTTCCGGAAAAGAACTAAAGGTGAGATTTGAGCACGACCTCAGTCACGTTAAGTCCTCAGTAAGCAAGCTGCTCCCAGAAACAGTTTCAGGTGTTGGCATCTGTGAACTTTGAAGAATAGGACAAAAGATGGATTCTAAAAGTACTCAGAAAAGCCACCACTTAAAGGTTGGCTGAAGAAAGAAACTCGAAACTAAGAAAGTCACGCAAGCTGATTGGATTCGGAGTATATGTCCGTTAGGATCTCAGTCTGGTTGACCGCACTATGAGACGATTGGCAGAAGTAGAAATAAATGAGCCCCGCTGAAATGGTGAAAGAAACCTCGTACTTAAGGGTTTTCAAATCGCACAAGTTCGGGGCGAAACGATCGCCGAACCACTCTGGTGATAAGGAAAAGTTCCATATACAGTTAAGTGTGTTACATAAATGCTCGTAGCATACTAAATATCGGAGCTCAATACAAAGGTGGATATTGAATAACGAGATGTCATTGATGTCAGAAACATGGTTAGCGTCAGAAGTGTTTGATGATAAGCTGATAAGTATTTTATCCAGTAGGGTTGATATACCTTACCATAAGGGAGGTGGAGTTATCCTGTATTTAGGACGTTCCTTAACGATACGAGCTTTCGGAGCAGTGATACATAATTCAGGTACATGTGAACCGGCGCGTTGTAGGCTGAAATGTAGACGGCAAGATATTGGATTAGTTGTAGTATTTTGCAGTTCCGAATGCGTACTAGTTGATGTCTTTCTAAGCAAACTTATGTCCTGGTGTAGAATGGGTAAAAGCCTTATAGGCGACTTTAGTGTACAGTATATAAACTGGGAAAGCATTGACAATGTTATTTGATTGCAAATTTTTAGAAACTGCAATTGCAGCAGTTATATTCTAGCACATTAGGGGTCCCATCAGATGTGACTTACGAAGCTCTTTGTTTCTCTTGATGATGTCGGTCAAATGACTTCCCCCCACCTCTAAGAAAGAGTGATCATGCAATCAACTTGTTCACGTTTTTGTCTGAGACGGTCCGTCAAACAGTTGCGCCGGTATGCCAAAACATATGGAAGCCAGACATGGATGCAGCATCGGCTGAAAAACAAATAATTGACTGACAGGCATCAGCAAAAGAGGTATGGACTTATTTCGGGCAGTTTTACAATCAATTGACTCAACCATATGTACCCTGGACAGTCCCAAAGAAGAAGAAGCACGGCCACTCATGGATAAGCCGCGATATTCGACTTTTACTAAGACAAAAGAAGAAATGTTAGAACTTTGTCATGAGTCATGGCACAGCAAGTACTATGGAACGCTACATGTCGGTAAGAAACAAGTGTATAATTAAAATCCAAGAAGCTCAGAGAAAATATGAAATGCAGTCGACACAACCTACAATCAAGCAGCCTGAGAGACTACTCTCGTACATAAATTACAGAACAAGGATGCAGCACTGAATTCCCAACCTAATTAAGGAAGGGAGTGAATATGAAATGATAGAGGAAGACCAAAAAAATGGCAGAGGCTATGGCAAACAATTTTGGGTCGGTTTTCACTCAGGAACCTTTACTAGACGAAGAAGCAGACACAAATAGAAAGTCAACACACCTTCTGCTCGCCGTGAACTTTGATCGAGACAATGTACTTAAAGCTCTTGGTACTTCAGACACGGAGAGGTCAACAGGACCGGATGAACTAGACCCCAAAATCCTGAGACAAACTGCCCAATTCATTGCAGTCCCACTAACTGTGATATTCAATATTTCACTTGGACAAGGTGTGTTAACTACGGACTGGAAGAATGCAATTGTCACTGCAATACATAAAACGGGACCAAGACAACTTCCATCAAACTAAAGACCTGTCAGCCTCACCAGTGACATAGTTAAAATACTGGAAAGAATAATCGACAAGACCATAACAACATTCGTGAGAACCAACAACTTGGTAAACAGCGAACAACATAGTTTCAGAAAAGGTTTATCTTGCACAATAAACCTCCATATAGAGTGGGAACATTGAATATAGGCTCTAGATAATAAAAAATCAATGGGTGTCATCTATATAGACTTCAGTGAAGCATTTGATAAGGTGTCAACAAACAGACTGCTCTTGAATCTGGGAAATCTAGGTGTTGCCGGACCTCCCTTATAGTGGCTTAAGGATTTCCCAGTAAGTCGTGGATAGGAAGTAAGAGCAAAATTCCAGTATTTAGTGGAGTACCTCCAGGTTTTGTTTTAGGTCCTTTACGATTTATATACTGTTTGTAGAAGATTTCCCAAGTATAGTTGAGTCCCCATTATTATTTTATGCTGATGATGTAGAATTCTGGTGAGAAATAACTGTAGACGCAGATGCGTGAGCACTTCAGGCAAACTTAAATATTCTTATTAGCTAATTTAAAGAGTAGCTGATGCCTATTAACGCTGCAAAGTATACCTACATGCACTTTAGGGATACAAAGGTTAATAGGTACAGCATAAAAGAAGTGCCTGTACCCGTTGTCCGGTCTCACAAGGATCTTGGGGTGACAACAAGTCATGATCTTAAGACCACAGCTCACTGCCGGGTAGTTCCAGTTAAGGGGTTTATAACCCTATAGGCTTTAGGAAGGATACTCACCAAGTTAGATACTACCACTTTCACTACAGTATACACAACCTTAGTGAGGACTAAGCTCCAGAACTGCGTTCAGGCTGCAAGCCCCTGATTAAATGTGACTCAGATATCCTGGAAGAGATGAAAAGCGCAGCTACTCGTGCAATTACAGAACTCCGGGGTTGGGAACCTGTTACGCGAAGCAATAGTGTCCGCATCTTCAATTCACTCATTCAGGAAAAGACTAGATACTCACATAAGCATAATAGACAAAGAATAATCTAGGCCGTAGGCCTTCTATCCTTACTACACAAATTTGAATCTGAACGTTACATTGTAGTGACCCCTTTTTATCACGAGGATGCGATTGGTTTAATGAAAACAACTATTATTATTATAACCAATTGTACCTGTGCTTGTTTTAGTGTGCTTTTGTATAACTGTGCTAATGACATTTTGTGCTTCCATTACTCTCCATTACTGTTTCGCGGTTCGTAACCTCCTTCGCACGTACTTTCTCCTGCCCACTCCGCTTGTACTTTTTCTTGACACGACCTCGGTATTCGCTCGATACCACGAGATCGCCAACGAAATAAACCTGGTTCTAATTCGCGTTCGCCTTCTGATTTACTTGGCACGTGTTTCTTTGTAGTGGTGTTCATAGTCAACTGGGACTCGACACCATGCTACAACATTATCGTAAGACAGCTTCTCTATGAGGGTTCGAATTCCGCTATTTCTCAAGAAAAATTATCTTATACCATTAACTTATAGCAATTGTACTCACCCATACCGTCGTGTTGTCCTCAAAAAATATTGTTACCGTATATTCAAGGAATTGTTCACATCCATGTTAGATTGATTTTGTGTGACCTAGAAGAGCTTGTTTACAAACACGGTGCAAATCAATTTTAAGCACAGTTTGAACATTTGTTTAGGACGTTTGAAGTTAATTTAAATTATTTTGTGCTGTACTCATTAAGGCTTCAGGACCACCCGTCACACCACAATTCTGAAGTATTTCTCTTTGGCTCTCAGTCGTGATTTCCTCTGTTTTTCCGCTTTTTACAGTACTGACGAGCGCCTGATTTTTGCGGACATGTACAGGAATACTCAACAATAAATCCTCAGCTCTCAGTATTCCATCAATTTGCTCCATAGAGATTATACCTCATCAAAGATAACCACACCCTATCTTCTTGGTTGGTTTACCTACTCCGCCTGCAGTCCCTGAGGGGGCTACTGCCAGTCGCAAGCCTGGATGAAGGAGGAGAGTTGTACATGGGGTTAGTGACCCCATCCCGTAGAAAACTAACTCGCTAAAAAAACACTAACCAGAAAAATTACCAGCATACAATCTATAAACAGTCGGATTACGAGAATATCTATAGATAATAGTTTATTAAATAAACCTTTGATTATATCTACCTGATATCTTTCTAGATTTTCACTATAGTTAACTCTGTAGAGGATTTCTGACTTTGAAAGGATCAGCCTATTCTTTCCCATCCACAGATGAGCAAACGTGCTTTTTTACTTCCATTCTAGAAGACAAAGGTAGACAGCTAAGGAGCCACCGACAGTTTGTTATTCCAATGGTAATATTCAAATAAGGGTCCCAAATGATTTACTACTTTATTTTATGTAGACATAGTGTTTTTTATCTCCACTATTAAATAATGACATTTTATTTGTTTTATCAAGGTCGATCCACAAGACTTGCTCCTCTATGGCATGTAATCTACGTTATAACCAGATAACTAAAGCATTAATCCAACTTTGCGGATATGTGAGAGAATCGAGTTATGAGTTCATCAGCATCAAATTCCTTCAACTTTCCTGTCTTCTGTAAGGTTGAATCAACATCACTATATCTCTTATGACAGGAGTCACTGATGATACTCGTTTTGCAACCTATCGTTTTCATTCCTTCTTTTAACTGTACCATTTCGCAGTAGTCAGTTTCCAACCCATTGTCGTCTGATAAGATAGACCAGCTGGCCTCTTATTCTACCCGGAATTAATGGCCAACCAGAAACGTATATTGCCAGAAGTCGTACAAACATAGTCTCTTCATTTCTTTCTGTTTATACTACATTCTGTAATATCGATGAATGACACCGATCTGGACCTCAGACAGCGCGCGTCCGAGTATCATTTCCGACATAAGCAAATAATTAAAAATACAGTTATTTACATGATCTATTGGTATGTTTTCTGCTTCCCAGACTTCTACAAAGCCTAATATTCCAATATGTACCTTAATTCTCCATAGTGATGAGCTGTGGGATAATCTTTTATTAATGATTATCTGTATAAATACGATAGTAAATAAATACAATGCATGACTACGCCTAAATTCAGGGTGACTTAATTTACTTCGAACCGTTTGAAACAATCGAGAACAATAAATAAGAGTTTTCAATTTATAAAGTTTTGAACGTTAATATATATTCAAAATAGTAACACTGTGATGTGTGCTACTGATATCAACAAATACAAGTAGTATGTATCATCAGTCGAAAGTGAAATGTCTGGAGACAGAAGATTAAGAAGACTGAAGAAAAGAGAACGAAAACAGAAAATAATTGCTGTGGAAATGAAGAAACAATAAAGTCTGAAACTATTGATTGGCATTTTGCAAATGAAGTATTTACTGTATAGTTTTCAAATTTACAGAAAGATTCTGTAGTTTTATGTTTAGATACATTCCATTGTCCCCATATATGTTTTCGTTCACTATAACTCTATTATATTACTTATGTGTAAATTTCTGTAAGTCATTAGAACAATTATCTAAAGACATATGGGAACATCTAAATTGTGTTGGAGAGATGACTTCAGACGTTTGATTTTTAGCTTGATTATCCCTCTTTGATCATCATCTTAAGGAGTTATGCCATCATCTGTAAATTTCTCAAGACGGTTTTTAAGACTGTCACTATTAGAAAAACTCATGTTTGTTATTATCAGTTGATGAAATCAGACCTCGGTTACGAGGAAAAGTGTCTGCATAGATTAGACTGGCAAAATGAATAAGCTGGTCCTAGTGACGAATCTTCTTGAAAGATACAAGAATCTTATAGACCATTAACATTTCTAGCTCACAGCAATGAAACCATAGTTATAAAGAATAATTTTCTGTATATTCATTTGCTAACTTATTTTAAGCATACCTTAAAAAGTACTTTTATTAGTTGTCTTATCATCCATTCTTTACTGGTTAATCAAAACATAATTAAAGTCATGAATAATTATGTCCTTAATAGACCTGATACACTGAATACTAATGAATTTAAATGTATTTTCTCAGGAGTAAAAGAAGTTTAATTCAACTTCAATTATATATATATATATATATTTAGCAAATGAAATTAGAAAAAATTTAATAATGAAGAAATAAAAATAATTTGTTGTGATTTCATTTTTCTGAATCGAAATTATGGAAGATAAATGTTGCAATCTAAAGTCATAGATAAGCCTATTCTCTAAAGTTTCAGTGAAAAATCAGTGTAATCTTGCTAATATAGAGTCAAATGAAATCAAAAGAAAAATAGAATTAAAAATAAACTAGCTAATTTTATAGGTTATAGCAAAAAATGATTGTGATATCGCTAAGTACTTTACATTAGGATGAGATAGATGGTAATGAGATAAAATGCATTGTTTACTGAACCGAAAAATCAAATATATGTATATGTTTAGTGTGGTAAGCATCCGTCGATTAAAATTGAACAATGACTGGGGTGATAAAGCAGACTAGTGAATTAGGCTTTGAAAAAGGCAAAGCTTTCATTAAAAGCAAGCATTCGAATTAAACATTTTATTTTCACATCTCTCGTGCATCCCCATGAATTGAAATATATATATATATATATATATATATATATATATATATATGACTGGTCGTACAAATTACTTATATACAGAATACTATTCATCCGTATTCTCTGATTTCGGGGCAGCTTTAGGAAGGATACCAGTTGGAGGAACAGTTGCATTTTTACCTTCTTCCAAATGGAAACGCCGGTAATACAATTGAATTTGTGTAAAGACACATTTCCAGTCAGGTACTTTCATACGCATTAAATCCTCAATGTCAAGTAACGGAGAAACATTGCCAAGTTTCCTGCCAATAGATACAAAGAAAATCGATGAAATCCTCAAGATTAAAAAATTTTAAATTAGTTATTTTCTAAGTAGGTAGATAGAAAATACTTTTACTGGCTGAATGTTTGTTCAAATGCACTCTGTTTTCTAAAGTTTACACTTTATACAATCGAATATATATCATAAATGCTCAGAACAGATATTGAATAAGAGTTTTTGAAATAATAAACTGAATTTTTATTTAAATTTTACTATTCTGTGGGGAAAACGTTTCGTGAGAAATTTGAGCGAAATATTAGTCAATATTGTAAGTTGGTGATTGAAGGTAGTCGACAGGAAACCCTTGACACAGGTTCCTAGTCCTCAGCACTACCTCCAAGCATCATCTCATATTTCAACATAGTGCAAGTGATTTTATCTCATTTAGAACAATGACCACACAGCAGCTTGATGGGTAGAATTCGATCAACGTTAAAAAGGGCTTGACATACATACACTAAGTGAATGATCTATTGTAAATTAGCCAGTGTTTTCTATCTGACTATAAAAGAGAGCTTACCTAATTTATGATCCTGTAAATTTCTTTGTGTAGATCCTATTGGGTGATTACTTATGAGATTTAAATAACTTATTAGTTTTTCTTACTCAGACCTTATAATGCGAAACGAATACTTCCACCCATTTTATTTGGATTAGTTTATATCTATTTTGACTGGCTCATATTATCATTAGAGAACTCGTCTTTGAAAACCAATTTAAGGATTTCTAGTTGAAAATATTTTTGCTATATCCTTTCATTTTACAATGAGTTATGAAGAAATCTAAAATCTAACCCCATTTTTGTAAATTTTAACCTAACCCTTTAGTCACACTTATACTGTCCGCTGGTCGCTTATGGACTCTAAGTGTATCAAAATTTACTCCAAAAAACGATTTCTAGAACTTTAATAACGAGTTAAAATGAAATGATACGTGTAAAGTGAAAGAGTAAGAAATTAAAAAATCGAATGTTGGTTGGCAACTATCATTTATTAGTTGATATATGCAATTCTGTAGCCTAGTAAATTATGCTTTCTCTAAGTTTTACTGTGAAATTTAAACTCAACTGCAATAATTGTGCTTATAACTTTTGAATAGGATGATTTATTTGCCAGAACGCATCGAAATAAACAATTTCAATAAAAAAATCCACGTTAGTAGAAAGATAGTAACCTGGTTTGTTAAATGAGAAATTACGAGTTTGAAAATTCAATACCTTTTAAACTAGTTCACTAAAATGAAGTCAAATCAATGTTACCCGAATACAGTTAGTTCTTCATTTGATTAAAAACAACGTACACACTGCCTTGTTCTACAACAACCCATAGGTAAAACAAAAATTATTTGAAATTAATGTAATAAACTCTTTTTTTCATATTTATACTTTGAATATATTCATTTCAGAAATAACATTACAATAATAACAATAATATTTTCTCATAAACTAACATATATCATAAACAATTTCAGTGTATTTCTTGTGTTCTCAAGTTTAGTTTGATTGAAAATGAATTCTATTTGATCGTTTTAAAACTAACAATTGGACAAACTAAAATAATTTATAATAGTTGAGATTATGAGTCATTTGAAGCTAGACCATCATAGAAAACCTGAATGCATTGGACGGCCATTTACTCCTATCGTGTAACTCCTCAGCAGTGTGCATCTACGATCCCGCTTCGCGAGATTCAAACTCAGGACCTATTGGTCTTAACCTCCAAACCACTGAAGCAGCATCCAACGGTGTCAATGTCTAACTTCAACTAATAATTCACTTTTTAAAATGATGTTACATATAAGACGACAGTCTTAGAATATTGTCTACCAAATTAATATATACACAATAAAAAGCATTTTATGATGGCTTAAAATTGTTCAACATTTATCAACATAGTAGTTTCTCACACTACAATTATTTACATACATTAATGATTTATTATTAGTATTAGTTACGAAATAATTTATATTACACATCAGATGTATTACGTCACTTCATAACTAGGATTATTTTACAACGTGTATATTTAACCGTACGAGTTTATAAGACAATTTTATTTGCAATACTGAACTATATTTAAAGTGTTATAAACCTATTAAGAAGTAATTATTTCTGATACATCATCTTGCGATGCATGTTATTTATAGAAAAGTCACAGACAATAACGATTATTAGGAGTTATTAAAACCAAGCTACCTTCAATGAATTATCTATAGTTTAATATGAGGTTTTCTCTAACTGATTTATACTACTTCAGTTCTACGAATCATATTTTACGATGAGTCTTATTTCTATGTGATAAAATGATGATAACGTGATTACTATTATGTTGTTATTGTTATGTTGCTGTCATTATTATTGTATTCAAGCTGTCCGTCATTTTTGATTGATCTATGACTATGTGACTGATTGGCCTTTTCTATACAGATCAACAGGTCGAACCAATGTCAATATGTCTACTGACTCTCAGTTAATCTGAATGCCATACTTCTAGAAATTTTCCGGGGATCTTGAAAATTCCCCATTTTTACGGTTTCTACGTTTGTTAGTCGAATCAATATCCTTAGTTATCTACGCGCACTGATATCAACGATAACATACTCTGTTGTTTCACAGCTAGTCTGTGTTCGTATATGTGGGGAAGTGGATTCTCATTCTGTCCGATTTTACTTTCCCCAATGTTAGCACACTATTTTGTTGATGGATTTGTCTTCTTTTGTCTTTGTGTATTTTCATCTGAATACAAAAAATGAAGTATTTGGGTTGTTTTGTGTGATGAATTGATTTTAATACGTTTTAAGCTTATTGAAGTAACTTCTGAGATGTTTTACAAATAATAATTGGATTTTTCGACAGTCGCTTATTTACGTCACTGGCTCCGAATAGATTCACAGCTTTTTGGATGCAAGCTCTTTGACAATAAACGTAGCTGTGAGTCGTTTGTCAGCTGAGCATAAATCAACTTTGGAAATCAGGATTGCTCTACCATTTGTAAAATAACAAAGGTCACTTTTACATAAAGTAGGCATTGAAGACGTTATCAAAGACAACAACGTATTCTCCTTGGTTAAAACAAACAGCTAAGAATAAAAACTAACATATAATATTTCATTTCAAAGGTCTCATCGTTCATATTTAAACCTTACCGAGAACATATACGGAACGTTTATTTAAAAAATGCATGTAATGTCAGAAAAATGTCAAACTGTAAACGTTAAAAATGATTATCAATTTCTAGATCACGTCACGCAGATATAATAGATTACGCAATGAATAGGCGAACAATTCACGAATTCCATTAAATTTCTACTTATTGCATCACAGTCATTGATCATGTTTTGTCATCTTTCCCTTTTAAAATGCCATATTTGTTCTCTACTATCAAAATTATAAATGGAACAGTTGGTTTTCACATGTCATCCATAGTGTTATTTATTATACAGTGATTTATGGTGAATAATTTTATGTCTGATATCTTATAAAAAACACTGCACCTCACGATATAAAATAAGAAGATTGCTACAATAGGGAGTTTTCTATTCGGCAAATTCATTGTCAGAGATGTACAATCGCAAATATATACTTATTTTTCAAGATGATAATAATCACAATAGTAGTGATAATCAAATTCTGTTAAACATGGTAACATTGAGATGGAATAAACAAAGGCATTAAAACGTCACTTTTTATCAGGGAAACTAATAATATTCTAATCGAATTGAAATGAATTCATGAGTCTATCCAAGCTGAGATAGCTAAGCTAGTATGGGAGTTTTCAGCTGAGGAGTCCCGTACTAAAACGAAATGGCTGTCCAGTGCTTCCAGGTTTTCAGTGGTGGTCTAGCTTATAGAGACTCATGAAATTACTACAATCTCCATAAATCCCCATTGTGATAATAAAACTAATAATAGTTTTAATTCACTTGATATTGTTTTACTTGAATCTTCCCATTGATGTATTAGGACTGAAATTGATCACTCTCTTATTGGCATATGTGCATACTGTGCGTATGCCTCAATATTGCCTTAATTTACAAGTATTATAAGCAAAGATGGATGTTGGCTAGCAGTGGAATCCAGGACGCGCATTTCGTCCTGTTTGGGACTCGTCAGCTGGATGTACCTGCATCTGAGTTGATGTTCACTCTTGGACTCGAACTCAATACCGTTCGCTTCAAACGCCATCGCGTTATCCTAAAACATCAATGGGAAGATTCAAGTAAAACAATATCAAGTGAATTAAACTTCACCTGATTGCACAAGCAAGTGGCTATCAGGACTCAGTAGCTAAGTGGGCTTAAATATTCATAATGAAGATAAATGGAGAAATCATATTTGGGAAGGGAAGGCTCAACATGATAAGATAAAATGTTGAAATTGAGATAAGCTGTAATTAAGAGGATCACAGAGGCAGAAAAAACCCAGTCGGAAGCAAAAAGTCTATAGAGAAGATGAAAGACAAGCAGAGAGCTGTAAAGGAAGAAAACAATAAAGAAGAAAATGAAAAGAGATTAAGGTCGTGGTAAAAGAAGGAAATGAATTCTCCAAAATCGAATTGTTAACTGAACCTATCTATCTTATTTTACGTCTAAATGGGTATATTCCGTTTACTTCAAGACACGTTAAAATAAAATACAAGTAATATAAAACTAATTAAGTCAATAGAAAATGTTTAACTATGTCCTTCATCAGCCAAATTAGCATTATGGATTAGAAAAATATCAAATGATTATGTTGTTCTTATGGAGCGTAACTATCTCGCTGATATATATATATATATATATATATATATATATATATACATTGTCCACAGATTACTATTAGTGCCTAGTTAATGGAAACGTTAGTTGACCCAGTCTGTGTTATAGAGATTATAATCAAAGGATTAATGAGGTTTCTTTTTATAAAATCTTCTTATTCTTTCATCGAAATGCTTTTTTTCTATTAACAGTTTCATACTTCTATTTTGTATTTATAAATACTATAACAGAAGATTATTTTTAAGGGCTAATGATGAAAATTTTATGACTTTAGTTAAAATTTGCTTTTCTTGATTGATTCCTAGTAGATAGAATGTAGTTCACTTTAAAAATCATTTTTCTTTTTATCCTTTTCGTATACTTTATTTATTTATTTATTTAAACACATAAACATTGGTACAAGGAGGCACCACATAGATATGCGCCACATAAATCATTCGATTTGTGTGAGAACTAGGATACTGCCCGGGTTCTCAAACTGAAGCAGGTGGTCTTCACAAGGAGCCACTCCTCGAGCCTTTGGCCTAGATGTTTTATTCACAAGACAGTGGAGCAAGGTCAGGAGATGCAGTCCCATGATGGCCGGTGATCAACGATTAGTTCATAAGCCATTTGTTCTCTTATGATCCTGGAGCCCATGTGCACCATTGGCGTGGAATCAGGGTTTTCCAACTCCCCTCGGTGGACTCTTCGTGTCCACCAACCCGGTTAAATCTCTGGACATTCGCTTTTCGTCCTATCAAATTCCTGAACAACACTCCCGCCACGAGAAGGCAGTGAGTAGGACTTCCCTGGCAGTGGTTGTGTACGCGTGGTCATGTGAGAGCATTTCGAGAAGTTGAGCTTACTCTCCCTGCTCTCGGCCGTACCAGTGCATTTTGGGGCCTTTTCGAATATAACTCATTATGTATTGAAGAAAATCACTTCTTTACACCAAATATTAAAGGTTTCAATATTGGCTTCAGTTCAAAAAACTTATTTCTTTATATCAAGGAAATAACATCAATCATGAATATAGTTTGGTGTATAACTCTAATGAATTAAAAGTAATAGCAGTTTTCAAGTAAAAATTGACGTGTTAGTCATAATTTAGTGTAGATTAACGGTCAACTTATAACACTGGAAATGAGATATTATTGAATAGGATGACACAGTTTATCTCTCTTATATAAACTGAACAAAAAAATCCAAATAGAATAAAGTAACAAAGTTTAAAAAACAGTTATGTCATATAAGTAATCCTTCATTTTACACATTAATCTGTATGATAAGAATTGCTGAGTAATTTCAATATGTTTCACGTTTAGTAAGCGTGATGACATTGAAAAAAAGGTAAAATTATATTTCACTAAGTGAAAATGAGTCGATATAATTATATGATTTTTTTCTATATAAGTAATATCATTCTAAAATATTCTTCATTATAACATTTTGTTGTATCCAAATTATCAAACGCTTCTATATTAATATCAGAAGGGGTTTTGTGGATATTATAGTAATTTTAATGATGCACTGCTGAGGAGTCCCACATTAGAACGAAACGGACGTCTAGTGCTTCTAGGTTTTCCATGGTGGTCTAGCTTCAATTGACTCATGGTCTCAATTATTAAAATTCTTTTTTTATTAATCAATTTAATTTAAGTAAAAGAACTATATTTTTCAAACAAAAGAGGTGATAGTTCACATTCAATATTAACTGTATGTTAGTGGTGTAACGAATTATTGTTGTGTTTTGTTTAATAAATCAATCTATTTCAAAGGTACAACATTTTGTTGATATCGATTTCAAGGTTGGACTTGATAGTTTTAAACAAATTGAGCATCGGGTAGAAAGTTATTAATAAATACATTTTTCATTGTATCCCACCTCTTCAGAGACTTATTCACTATGAGGAATTGGCTTACATCAAGTCACGAAACGTTGGAAATATAAAATTTCTACTGAGATTTAACAAAAAAATATATTTATTAAACAACATTTTATTAAATATTACGATATTTTTAAATTCTTTTAGGTAGTATTGTACCACAGTGGCCAGGTAATCAGTTAAAATGATATTTACGTTTTGGACTGATGTAATTTTTTGTGAAGTGTTTGATACTCAACTTTATTGTAATTTTAGTAAACAAACGAATAAAGTCAGCTCACTGTGAAATGACGGGGTCGAGTGTGGTTAGGATTTCTGGTTGATGCTCTTTAGTGGTGTTACATTCTCTTATCTGAATGGTTTGTTTGCAAAACCTTTAATGTTACTTTGAACAATATTATAATTTTTGGTAACAAAACCATTCAACCAAGAGAAAACCGTTTAACAAAAATCAAGTTGTTTTGTGTGACAATGAATAATATTAATACCAGATAATCTTTCGTTTTCGTTACGATTTTCAAACCGCATCATCCTTCTAGATCTCTTTATTTCTTCTACTTAATTCGTTTTTTTTTCGTTTCTGTTTTATGCATTTCCATGTGTCAGTATATTTCAGAGAAGTGGTCCTACTTTGTTTGAAATTAAATCGTAAAAACAATCTAACGATAATAAAACTATTCAAAAGAGATTGAAAAAATTTCATCCTGGCTACTGTTATCTTGACATTTTATTGTATTATCATGCAACAAATAAGCAAAACTGACCTACATAACAATACAATTATGTTTTTACAACATTGCTTATATGAAATTATACATATTTATATGTGAGTTTGACACGAATAATTGACTAATATACATCTATGTGTTTCATTGAAGCACGAAAACTGTTGACTGAACTATTAGATTTATAACTACTCTGAGAACAACCAAGTTCAGTATTCAATATATCTTAGAATGTTGTCAGAATGATATGTTTTAAGAAAATCTTTGCTGTCGATTTGAAGTGAACGAAGGAATTACAAAATCATATTGATTACCTGTTGAAAGAGGAAAAGATCATATTTAGGCTTTTCTTCTGTCAGGTCATCTTTTCTATTTCTTGATAAAGTCTTTAGATACAGTTTAAAGTTATTTGCTTGATTGGTCCCAGTAGAATTTTTTTAACTTGTTATGATTTGACAGTAACATCTGTACGATTATTATTATTATTATTACTGTTACATGCTTAGCAATGTTAATATTCAAGCCTCAATGTATTATTGAAATGCCTCATATTATTTCCCTTTTATATGCATTACTTCAAACTAAGTCTTTAATACTATCAAAAGATATATCCCTAATTACAAACAAGAGCATTGCAGAAGGACTATGTGCTGTAGGACGATTGAATAAACGGGTAACTAAAATTTTAAAAATAACCCATTTGTTTAATTTAAGATAACTATAGAGAGACTTATATGAAAAGAAAACTATTTCTGAATTTTTAAACAATGAAAAATATGTTTCGTTTTAAATAACCTACAGTCGTTTTAATTCGAATATTAGGAATCCGATTTTAGTGTTTTTACATACCAGCTTGAAATATAAAAGGTGTTCACATTAACTAATCTCGATGTTTATCAAAGTTACAGATTCATCTAGATTAAGGAGGTACAGTATGACTAATTTATTCAATTTCAGTCTACGCTCTTCATCTATTTCAGTGTAGCTTCAGCTGACGTTATTGAAAATCCATTGGAGCATTATTACTACAAAAAGACGGATAGCTCATTTTAAAGACAGTAAATCCTACGGTCCGTCACGTTAAGACCTAATTGAATGAAAAATACATATGCGAAATGGAGGGGCATATCTGTAAGTTTATACATGCATATCTTTTTAAAACTTACTCAGCTTTTTCAAACGCCAATTCAAAATTTGCTCGTTTATTTTTTGGATCCAGTGTAGAGAAATCAAATGAATCAGGATAAAAGTGATGAATTAATGCACAAAATGCTAAACCATCACCCCAACTACTTCCGAAATTTTGTATGTCCACACCCTGAATACAAGTAGAGAAAGAAATAAAGTAATCAGTAATAGGTAAATCAACCCAAAAAGGAATGTTGATATCAAGGAGAAATGTCGCTGGAATCATATGTCATTTCCATCGTAAAAGGATGTTATTACCAAAGTGAATCTATGAGTTGGGTCAAATCAGAACATGAAACAATGTTTCATAGGAAATCGAAAATTGTTTAGTTGAGCATATTCTGATTTATATAAGATATATTCGCACTAAACGTTGGACTCTTCATCTATGGTTTCAAATATAATAGTCTTATCTATAACTCTATTGTAAAAATTGTAAAACGATAGTGTGATGTTTTCAATATCTTCAGAAAATCACGTTTTAAGTCCCTTGTCCCTCAATGTACAGATAAATAATACTTTTGAATCTCCAAAGCTTTTACAGTGAGTGGTACATATATATACATATTCTTACTTGACTAAATCAATTTCGAAAAATATTTGATCTTAGAAGGATGGGGAAAGCTTACAACCTCCTGAAAATAAGCTACTTTAAATTAATGCATAGATATTTAAGGTTCTATACAATATGAAATTAGTTTTAAAGAATATGAAAGCTCTAGGACTTAGTGCATCCACATAAAACATATCTGTAACGTTATTTTTGTGATCAACAATCGGATGTTGTAGCTAAAAATGGCAACTATTATTTTTCTGACTGATAATTCATATCTTATACATAACCAACAGATGACGCTATATAAGTTCTCGGAATAATCAAAGTTTGGTTGTATAAATTTATAGTGTTGGAATTACCTTTTATATAGCTGAAGTAAACAGACACAATCAATTTACTAGATATATATTGAGAGTAAAAAAATACTGAACCTATAAGATTTTAATAAAATCAGAATATCTCAAGGATGGACATAGCTGTGTAACTATTGATTCAAATCATTTCATTTGAAACGTTATATTCACTTTGGATGACTATTTACAGTAACCAATGTAATATTCGTTTGGTTCTTAGTGTTATTTAGATTCAATAGATCAAAGTACAGTAAGTTCATTAGAAAAGCCTACCAGTAGTCTAGGATTAGTGACCAGGTTGCAACATAGCACGCAGAATTTAATCAGTACTCAAAACGAGATAAATATGACATTTGCTACGATTCAGTATTTAATCAGCTTGAAAATCTTATTTCTACAGATAAATGGTTCTAGGTCAAACAACGCAACGATAACGTTTCTGATTGTAAATCTTAATGATGTATTCGAATTCAAGGGGATGAAAGTCATCCCTCATGAGTTTTCGTTTATCCTCTACTGATGAGTGGCATCAAATACAATACCTAGATTGGATAATTTCTCTAAATTGCCACTAATATTAAAGCAACCTAAACAAAGAAAAATAAAATCTAGGAATGTAAACATTTTCTTTGAATGAACACAGTTGGAAAGTAGTGAATGTTCATGTTTCAGACAAAGCAAAGTACTAAATGAATAATAATGGACTATTAGAACTAAACAACTATTTCATCACCTGAGGTCATCATAAGAATTCATGTTGGACAATGTACATACTTATACATGGTCCAGGTAATAAAGTGAACAGTTTCATGAAATGTTGCAATTCGTTTTTCACGAATAACTTGAACCTTTATTAAATATCACATTTTTTGTGAAAGAGAACGATATAGCCAAATCAATATCATAGCTGAGTTAGTTTTGTCTATTAATTTTGAATTAATAGAGCTATGAAGGCAATAATTATCAAATAAGTATATTTTCTGTTAAGATTCTATGAGGCTCTTTAATCAATCGTAAGATTGGACTGTCTTTTCATTATCAGTAATGTTAAAGACAACCAAATATATAAGATTTTATCAATGATGTTTTACTCTTAGAATTTCAGTGGTTTTCCTATCAATTCGATCTGAATATCGTACATAGTAAATATATTTTCTCACATTTGTATTTCTCTACACCGATAAAGATAGAAATAAGAATGCTTATGAAAATGTTATATTAGAAGAATTGATAATTTAATGATTTATAAAACTAGATTAGATTCTACAGGCAGTAAAATAGAAACTTCATTACTAGATACTGACCATAAGCTAATAGTATTTTTTTCATTTAGATATTAATTTCATTATCTCACAAAGCTACCTTTGCATGGAATGAGGTTGTTTCATTTTTTTAAAAATTAGGTCGTGGTGTACAGAACTTGCTTATTTATATTAAATTTTCAACTATACATATTTGTCACGACCAAAAGTACTGTAACACATACTATATCTGATAAGTTTTAGTTCATACTTACCGTACACTGACAAAATTACATATAAACTGCTTCAAGATAATTGTCAGATGGAATTCTCTTCATTATAACAATTTTATTTGGATATTTGTGATACTATGATAATCCATGTTTGATAATTTGCATAAGTCTGAACTCTAATGAATGATAGTGCTTACGGATTATATTAAATGTTTAGCACATAAAAAGATCAGGAATACCAGTAACTTTATAAAAATTTCACGTGATTATACTAAGACGTTAGTAGCAAAAGGTACAATACTTCATCAGTGATATACACTCTAGATGATTTTGTAATTCTTTAAACCTAACATGTTAATAAATGGGACTGGAAGGCAATGTTATTAGTGATAGGATCCAAACACAAGTCAAAAGAATACTTAGTTAAATATCTAGATTTCCGTGAAAGTTTAGTCGTGGAAACTGAGCTAATCAACCAATCTGGTATCTAAGGCTATCTTAAAAGTCTAATAAGTAACTTCTAAATAACATAATGTATTGATAGAAATGTTTTTTAGATTCATGTTACTTATTTAAAACATCTCTGACACCACTTTATTTACATAAGTTTCTCTGTCAATCAAACATTTTACGTTATTTCCAGAAATACAAATGGGAAACTAATCTGGTAATCAATGTAAACTTTGGATAAAACTAATGCACCAAACCGATGTACTACTATTGAAAAGCAACAGTTTGTAGTATGATTTACGATCACTTTTCAGGTTTGCATGTTATAACTTTTATTACAAATTTTCGCAAGGCTACCGACTAACACATTAGTGCTGTTTCTGAGTTGTGTTTTGGGATATTTATTAATAAAAATACATTTGGAGTTGTATAAATTGTAAACTATTTTTATTCATAGCTTAGCTATGAATGTAGGTATGCTAATTAGCTATTATTATGATTGTTAGCAGAAAGTGATTATGATTATGTTGAGAACGCTATCAGTAGTTGTGGTATTTGGGAGACTAATTGGGTCTACTGTAATTTCTACTTACAAATGACGAATTCATTTAACACAAACAGGATCTAATGCGAATCCGATTGAGTGACAACTGACACATAACAATTCACCAGTAATCTCCAAATGGAAAGGAACACTCAGAGAAGGGATGAGTGCAGAGAAAGTTTGATATTCCAAGAGTTAAATGGGGAATATGATAATTCTGAATATATTGTAATAAAGCATGACTTTGGGAGACAAAAAAAGTTGTCAAACTATGGATGCAAATGACCAATCAAATAAAACCGGATTTTGATGAGGATTTATGAATCAGAAAAAATATGCTTGCTTTTATCGCTACTGGAAAGAAGTACAATTTATTTATAAAATCTGGATGACTTGAGACCTTCTTAGCCTAAGTAGACTAAAGTCATGTAAGATTAGGTGATCGGTTTAAATTTTTCTAAACGTAAATTCAAATGAATACAGTTATTTAAGGAATTGAGCTTACTCATCAGCTGAAAAATCTAAATACAAATTTAGTCTTCTTCAGTACTTAAATCTGCACTTAGAGTTATATTCATGACAATGAACCATTAAAGTGAATAGTAAGATACTTTCGCTAACATTCCTAATAAGTTATAAGTAAAGGAAGGTCTGGTTAGAGTTAAGAAACTACAGTTTGAAACTACTAATCCTCAATACGATAAGTGGTATGTCATAATTATAATAAATTACGGATGTAAACGGTTCATTCTGTATGTTAGTATGTTAGTACAAAATTATTTTAGATGGTCAGTTAGCTAAAGTCTTAGGGTCTCATAAACATTAAAAATAAGAACTCTATACAGGAAAAAAATCAGTGACTCAGTTACAATAGTGACAGAAGAGAAGAAACAGAACTTCATAGCATTATCAATAATTATATCGTTCACCGCTTTGCGAGCTTAATCTTGGGGATTTTAAATCATGTTTCATTTGATTTACATTGAAATTACGTTACAAAATTATTTATTTATTTATTTATTTATTTGAACACATAAATATTGGTACAAGAGAGCGCCAATATATATGCGCCACACAAAACAATGGGAATTCGAAGAGAAGTAGAAAGAAAAAAAAAAAAAAAACTAAGGAACGCAAAAGAAAAAGAGAGTAATGACGAAGATGTACAATCAGAAGAAATCTTTCAGGTAAAGGAGACACAACCACTTTTTATGAAGAAAGTAAAAGAAGGTTACAGCAGGATCGCCACTGGCTTCTATTCTGAGCCATATCTGATAACGTCTCTAGCCACTGTGTTGCACCATCTCTCGGACCCCAGCCAGGGAGTCGTGAAGGACCAACACAAGCCAGTCCTTTGCAGCTTTCTTTCATGCCACGACACCATGTCATGCACTGACCACCTCTCCGCTTCTTCCAACCAGTCCCAGAGTCGGCAAATAATGCACGACGTGGAATTCTCTGGGACGACATTCGGAGAACATGTCCAAGCCACCGAAGTCGGTGTTTCAAGATGGTGACACCAATTGAGTTATCATCTCTGTGCCCGAACACACGATGCCGAACCTCTGCATTACTGACATGGTGTTGCCACTGAATGTCAGCAATCCTTCGGAGACAGCGATGATCAAACACAGAGAGTCGTCTAACGTCCTCAACTCGGAGAGGCCAGGTTTCACAAGCATAGAGCAAAACTGCTCTCACCGACGCGTTGTAGATCCGGCCTTTTACAGCCAGACTGACATCACGAAGGCGCCAAAGGTGGCCCAGATTGGCATAAGCCGCTCTGGCTTTCACTATTCGTGCATTGATCTCATCACTCACACCCCCACCAGCACTTATGCAGCTACCCAGATACACGAACTTCTCAACTACGTCTATCTGCTCACCATCCAGGGTGAGTACAGGATTGGGATCCTGCCAGTCTTGTAGAAGTACTTTGCACTTCGAAGGTGCAAAGCACATACCATACCTACGGACATTGATTGCCAACTGATTAAGTGCGGATTGCATGCCTTGGGCATTATCGCACAGTAAGACAATATCGTCCGCATACTCAAGGTCGAGA